CTCTCTCTCTCTCTCTCTCTCTCTCTCTCTCTCTCTCTCTCTCTCTCTCTCTCTCTCTCTCTCTCTCTCTCTCTCTCTCTCTCTCTCTGTGCCAGACTGTTTCATTGGAATTTCACCAACTGATCAGGAGGTTGAACCCCAACAGTCTCCTAGGATGGATTTGACTGATGGATAAGGACTCACCACGTAGCCCAGAGTTATCGATACCCCTGAGAAAAGTGGTCGACTTTACTCACAGTGTGTGTGATTGCATGTCTGTGGCTGTGCATGTTTCATCACATTCAGCGTTGTTCACCAATTACTGTGCACATGCGCATTGTCATGTTTGCTGAGCAGCACTCAACACGAAAAACAAGAATGGAGTTTCGGCGACTGGTGAAAAGGCTGAACCTCAGTGGTCTGTCCAGGATGCATTCAATTCAGCAAGTACCATGAGGGACTGTGTGCACCATGGGCCCGGTGGAAAAGGGCAGACCAACGACTTACAGAAGTATAAATCAAGAGGCAGCGTCCAGCCATTCATTCATTCATCCGTGACCCATGCGGAAGCGCTGCCCGAGCGTCTTGTGCGAGGTGGTCTGCAGATGCCGGAGGTCGAAGTGGGCTTGAAGAAGTCAGTGCACCATAGTTAGTAGTAGCTGGCGGCCCCATAGCCGCCATAGCTAGTGTTAGGTGTTAGTGTGTGTGTACGTGTGTGTGATACAGTGAACGCGTGTGGGGTATTCAGGGTGATCCAGAGTTGAGTATGTGCGAACAGCGGTGTTGGACACAGTGACGAGAGTTGGGATGTACAGGCGCTGATGCGCCATAGCCTGTCGAAGCGAGTTTGCATCTGAACTGTGTTCTCGGTTTCCATATCTCTGAGCTTTGAATGGGCACTTGGCGCCAGTGTGAATTGACATCTGTTTACATGTATGCGAAGTGAAGAAGAAAGTGAGTCTGATTGCACCATCTACTAGTGGGGAGTAACACCTGCTTCCAACCAGAGACAGCATACCCAGTTTTAAGGCATTGCATGTCGACCATAGCATATTCATGCATTGTCCTTTTGTTAGCTGTCATTGTAATGAACCCAGTCTGGAAGAAACTCGTCAATGTCGAAATCCAAGATATCTAAGTACTTGTCAATGTCTCCAATAATCATGAAATGTGATCTGAAGATTCTGAAGTACAATGTCTCGTAACCAGAGGACGAAGCTGATAGGAGGGAGATAAGAGGGTGGAAGAGAGTATCAATCAATGCCATCGTAGATAGATCTCCCTCATAACCCACTCCTCCTTCGGGCATCTCCCCTCGTCCACGTCAGCAAACAGTATCCCAGAGACGAGTCTGACAAGATCCGATCACAGCAAGTAACACATAGGCACATATCTCTCATGAAGACGTCACAGCAGCGCGCAATGTCAACAGCATCAATCAGGTGAGTTTCCCTCTCTCTCTCACAACCAAGCCCACAGTTCCTGATCTCCCTCCTTGTCGTTCTCCCAATGTGTCGAAGACAGTGTGGCAAGTGCCACATCAGCAACCAAGTAGACAGCTGGCGCCGAGAGCAGAGAGGCACCAATACGCAATGCAGCAGTGACTCTTCGCCTGTGCTGGTAAAGGCCATGCCCGCCCTAAGTGAAGGCGGGCCTGTAAATCTGTGTCAAGGCCGGAGTACAGGCCAGTGTGATCACGCTAAAGGGGCCGTTGGAACCTATATGCGGGCATGAATCTTTGCAGTAGCCCTTCTAGGGCTCACCCCACATACAGACTTGTGCCCGCCCTAAGTGAAGGCAGGCCATAATATTTACAAGAGGCCTATTTTGTCAAATTCTGCATGTGGGGTATCAGACAGTGAGCCTTTCCAGGCTCTTGCCGGAAGTTGCAGCCTCGACGGGCAGCTGAGCCCAGGGCCCCGTACAGTTAAGGCCCTGGGCGTGTGCATCTAGAGACCGACACATCACACAGCAGCCACGGACCAATGAGATTTGCAGCATTGTCGGCACATACTGGCCGTGAACCAATGAGATCACAGCGAATATGTGGAGGCTCGTGGACTGCCTGGACGTGGCCAACAGTAAAGGGCCCAGACCCGTAACTACAACTGGGCCTGGGCGCAGGCATCGAGGCCTGACTGGAAGCTACTGGAAACTCGTCCAGCCAGGCCCAGAGCTCGACAAGCAGAGCTCACTTTCCATATAGGAAAGTGAGAGTGGGCGCCAGAGGCATTCTGGCCGAGGCAGGCAATGCAGCCACGCTGCTGCGTTGCAACTTCGTGATCTAGACAA